ACACATGCCCTAGGGCATTAAACTGCTACACGAGGCTAGTTCTAATTGAAAGAGGAAGATGTTTCCTAATTAATTATGTAAACCATGCTGCAGCACAAACCAGCCTTATTTTCAGTAATACAACATAATTTGTTGCACAGTTACGTAGTATATTTTGAGCAACCACCAATCTTAAGAAGCTACAGCTTTGTTTCCATTGTTTCTCACTTGCAGTTTTAGAATTAGGACACACAGCATTGTGAGATTAAAAAAAACAACACAAAAAACCATGCCCCCCCCAACTTTGGGAATTTCTTTATAATCCCTCTAATTCTGAGCCTGCCCGCTGTTACGCATTCAAACTTTTCACTGTGACTGAGAAATAGGAATGTGCTTTTTCATGGAAAAATGGCAACTCTGGCCACACATGCCCTAGGGCATTAAACTGCTACACGAGGCTAGTTCTAATTGAAAGAGGAAGATGTTTCCTAATTAATTATGTAAACCATCCCCCATCCCACTGGTGGCTTATTTTCAGTAATACAACATAATTTGTTGCACAGTTCTGTGGTTTATCCACGACAACCACCAATCTTAAGAAGCTACAGCTTTGTTTCCATTGTTTCTCACTTGCAGTTTTAGAATTAGGACACACAGCATTGTGAGATTAAAAAAACCAACACAAAAAACCATGCCCCCCCAAACTTTGGGAGTTTCTTTATAATCCCTCTAATTCTGAGCCTGCCCGCTGTTACGCATTCAAACTTTTCACTGTGACTGAGAAATAGGAATGTGCTTTTTCATAAATTAAAAGATATCTTCATCTCATCACTGGATTTCTATTCCTGAGGATTTAACAAAATACAAACTATAATGGAACTTTTATGAAATAAAATACTAAGAATTGAGGAGGATTTATTTCTGTCAGCCTCCTTCCAGAGAGACGCTGAAACTTTTACTGAAGAAACTTTCCTCCAATCCTCTGTGCTTGATGCCAGACCTCAATCTGTTCCTTGCAAGTGTAGCATGAATGTCTCCTGACATTGTCATAATTTGCAGGCATCCCCAAAGGTTTGTGTGTGAGACTGTTGTATTTACGCTTACCGGTTCCATGAAAACAATGTACGTAACACTGTCAGATTTGTTTCAATGCACTTATAATGCAAGCATAACATAAAATAAATTGTGTGCCAACAAATAAAGAGTAGGTTTTTGACTACAGAGTTCGGAATGCTGGTAAAAAAAAAAGAGAAAGCAAAAAATGAGGAAATCTAAATGTGTAGTATATTTGAGGCTAATCTCTTTTCCAAACTGTCATTTAGGATTTCTTCGAGACTTAGCTGCATTAGTTAAGGCTAGCTCAGCAGAGCCCTGCCTTAACGGTTCTGTTTTTCAGAGCGACCTGGTTCTTCTTTGTCTAAATATGCTTCAGGGTTATCATCTTATTTCTATGTTTAGTGAATCTTCAGAGGCTTTCCTGGACTTCTTGAAGGGGGTCCATCTTATGATTCCAGTATTCGGGTTCCTTGTGGTGTTGTCTCAGACCAGTCTTTCCTCACAGCATGAGCTGGATCTTGCACTGGCTGTCATTTCATGATTATCTCAAACTCCTGGTTGCTGTTACTGACTACCAAAAGGAAGAGGAGAGCACAG